TGACCATGATACCGTACAACCATAAACCTGAAAAATGAATCCACTAACTGATTTACGATCTGTAGCATCACTTGCCCAGTCAGCATCTGCAAATCCGATAATTGGTTTATTTACTGTCGGTTTAAATACTAATTTTTTGTTTTTAGTTCCTTTTAAATATCTAAGTATTCTTTTCAAACATTGCCAATGTTCTTCCGATGGGTTTTGTTGATATCTACCCAAATATGCAACTGCATAACATATATCTGGTCTTGCACAAAGCATAATATACATCAAGCTTCCCAACATCTCTCTATAAGGTTTATTAAGTTCAGTTTGCGAATGGTTTTGTACAAGCTGTAGACCTTTCTCAATCGGGCTCCTTACAGGATTACAATCAGTCATACCAAATTTTGTAAGTATCTTCTCTATACTTGCTTCTTGTGATAGTTTAATGCTGTCATTCTGTTTTTCAATTTTGATTCCAAGAAAGTACTTCAGTTCGCCACAATCAGACATATCGAATTTCTTGCTTAAATATTTTTTAAGCCAATTGATAGAGGAAAGTTCTTTCCCAGCAATAAGCAAATCATCCACATACATTATAACAATTAGATAAATATCATCAGAAAATTTCGTGTACAAACAGTAATCATGATTAGATCTAGTAAAACCAAGCTGCAATAAGTGTTGATTAAACTTTTGATTCCAACATCTTGGAGCCTGTTTCAGACCATAGAGCGATTTCAAGAGTTTGCAAGCTTTTCCCGATTCAGCTTCAATTCCTTCAGGAATTGCTATGTACAATTCTTCCTCTAAGTCTCCGTACAAGAAAGCTGTCTTTACATCCAACTGATGAAATATTAAATTTTTATGTACACCCACCGACAGGACTACTCTTATTGTTGTAAGTTTAGCTACAGGTGCATATGTCTCGTAATAATCAATGCCTTCTTTTTGTAAAAATCCTTTTGCTACAAGTCGGGCTTTATATCGAGCTGGGATACCATTTTCATCATCCTTCACACGAAAAACCCATTTTGATTTCAATAGCTTCGTTCCTTTTGGAGCATCCACTATAGTCCATACCTTGTTTTGGTACATCGAATTTAGCTCTTCTTTGATTGCTGCCATCCAATTAGCCGCATCACTTCGTCCAGTGATTTCAAAGAAAGTTTCAGGACAATCTGTAGGAATATTGACGGCAGAAGTGGCTCTATATCCAGTAAAGAAATCCAGCAACTTACGTGGAGTTCGGCGCTCCCGTTCACTGTGCCTTAATACAACCTCTGACGAAGGACTATTTTCTTCTTGCGAAGGGAGCGCATCTGGACTATGTACATTCTCAGTATCTTGAAATACTTCATTTAAAATATCATCTTCACCTCCGTCATTTTGGCCGAGCATTGCACCATCCCCCTCTTGCTCGTATCTAGTTATCACATTTTCATCATCGCCTTCTGGATCTTGATTGTTTGTACGCACTATATTTAATTCTTCAATTCTCGAGTTTGATTCCTGCTTAAAAGGAAAGCAGTCTTCATCAAATTTGACGTCTCTTGCAATGAAAATTCTTTGGTTATTTTGATCCCACAATCTATATCCATTTTGAACATAACCAATCATAATCGACTTTCGACTCTTCGAATCCATTTTCTTCCTTTGTTGGCTTGGTATCCACGCATATGCTTTGCATCCAAATATTCTTAGTTTGCTAACGTCAGGCTTGTCTCCGTACCACATCCCTGCCGGAGTAACCGAACCTTTCAAGGATATAGTTGGGCTTCGATTTATTAAATAAACCCCAGTGTAAACCGCTTCACACCACATTCGTTTTGGTGCATTGGCTTCAAAAAGCATAGACCTTACTTTCTCGACTAAAGTCCTATTGAATCGCTCTGCGACTCCATTTTGCTGAGGCGAGTAAGCAACAGTTGCTTCCATCTGGATCCCCTTCTGCTTATACCACTCATCTTGTTGTTTAGAGCAATATTCGCGTCCTTGATCAACCGTTATTTTTGAAATTAAAACTCCAAACTTTGCTGTAACAATTGCTTGATACTCTTTCATTACTTTGAATACATCAGACTTGTACTTAATAGCGTAGACAAATGCAAAATGCGTGTAATCATCAATGAATGACACGAAATACCTTGAACCATCCGAATGAATTCTTTCAAGTGGGCTTTTTGCTCGTTCACGATGTCCATTAAAAGGATCACGACAGTGTTTAGCTTCAACACACACATCACAAAATTTCATTTTATTTGTTCTTACAGGCAAGCCATTTACAAGATCTTTATTCACCAATTCATCAAAAGCTTTTTGTCCAATATGCCCAAAACGCTTATGCCACAAGTCGACTTTGTCTTCATTGCACATGTATGTAAAATAACACTCTTTTTCTACTTCGATTTCATAAAGCCCATTGCACAAGTATGCAGTTGCTAACAGCTCTCCATTTTTTATTACATTTGCCTTATTTTTGTTGAAAATCACATCAATCCCTGCATTAGTAAGCTTTCGCACTGATAGCAAATTATCACGCAGCTCTGGAACATATAGCACATCTTTCATAACTAGCTGCACACCTTTATTGCTAATACCACTTATTTGTCCCGATGACTTTGCAATTATTGATTGATTGTCTTTAGCAACGTTAATTAAAACTGGCTTATTCAATTTCGAAAGATTTTCAATATACCATTTCTCGTTCACTATATGATCACTTGCACCCGAATCCAACTTGAATTTTATTTTGCAATCAGATACTGCTTTTCGATCTTCGCCGCGACCAGCAACAAAACAAATGCGTGTAGTTCCCTCTTTTCCAGCTGCACTCCGAGCCTCAACTTGTCGACAACTCTGCTCTTTATGACCAATTTTTCCACATTTGAAACATTTGCCTTTAAATTTTGAAAATTTTTTGAAGTGTTTCTTTCCCGAAAACGCTGTCTTCTCCAAGTCATCTCTTTGTTGACGGTCTAATAACTTTACCTCTTCAGCCAAAAGTCGCTCTTTTACCACATTTAATGTAAGTTTCTCATCACCCAAATTTTGCAGAGCAGTGACCAGAGGATCAAATTTATCTGGTAACGTCAAAAATAGTTGTGCTAATAAATCTTCCTCACTCAATATAGCACCCGCCGTTTTCAATTGCCGAACCAAATTTTCAAATACGCTCAAATCAGCACTTACTGCTTCGTCTTCCTTCATACGGAGCGTTACTAGCTGCTTCCGCACTAATAATTGACCCACAACAGATTTCCTCGCAAATGCCATTTCCAAACTGTCCCACATCTCTTTAGCCGTATTCTTGTCGCGTATGTAGGACAAGCAATCATTATGAACAAAACCTACCAAACGATCTTTAGCTTTTTTGTCCCTCCTTACAAATTCCGCTTTTGCATCAGCAGCAGTTGGCGGAATGTCAGTTAAAACATCCGCCAAATTGAGCGCATCCTGGTGCATCCTCACTCTGGATCGCCAATCATCAAACCCCGTGCCGGCAAATTGCAGAATACCATGATCTTTTAAGTCGCCCATAACCTATTAAAGTCCTTGGTTGTATATAAGAAAAGATTTAATATTCCAGAAAATGTACACGTTTGGTTTGAATAAAAGTTTTCAAGTGAGAAAAAAATATGACAATATTCTAAAATTACAAATACAGAGATTGCTTAGATTGTTTAAATAAAACAAAACTCAACAATTTCTATCATCGGTCACTTTTTCTTAAAGTTCTTTATCGCCGCGAAACCATATGTGCGGCGAATTCATTTACGAAAATGGATGTTAAAACGGACGCGAACTCCTCATCTCAACCTTTCAGACCTCACTCGCCGACTTTAACGAGTTGTCGCTTCTTATACATTTACGTTCTTTGCTTTAAATATAGGAGCGTTCCTTATCTCCCAGAAATAGTCAGAAAAAGTCCGAAGTAGTCAGATTTAGTCCAAAAAGCGTTCCTTAACTCGGAAATGACAGCAAAAATGAGAGAGCAACAGTCAGTGAGAGCGACTCTCATCAGTCCGAAGTAGTCAGATTTAGTCAGAAGAATTTTTTCTGGCAAAATCCTGAAAAGTGTCAAACTCAACTGAATTTAAATTAACGGAAATTAAAGAATACGCAAAAAGTGAGAATAATCTAAAAAGTAAAAGAAATGAATTGAAATTGGAAGGAGGCAAAAAATAATTGATATAGCAAGTGTTTATTGTGCTTGTGCTTGTGTGAATGTGTTTTGTACATACATTTCTGTTCTTATTTGACGTTAGTTTTGTTGTTGCCATTCTTTGGACTAAAAATTTGGTTTTTTGCGTTCCTTTACTTTTCCTGTTACTCTCTTTTAGTGAGCGCATTTTTCTTACGCTCTGGGATTTTGACACTTTTCAGATTTTAGTCCAAAAAGATAAGGAATGAACATTATGTAAATTTCCAGATGAAAACAAAACATAAGTACACTCATATATAAATGCATAGATTTCTTATTAAACTAATGCATTTTTATATAAAAGTACACTGATTTTGTTTAAAATACTGATCACTTTTATGCACAGACACCAACAATCGACACTTGTTGACAAACACTTCGCACTTACAAACACTTTATTATGAATATGGACACTTTCACATACATGCACTACAGTATTTTACACATTCACTGAATACTATATATTTTACACCTTCTTTTATTTATTTCCTATATTAAAATACACTTTTCAACAACTTGCGCGCTTGCGCAAAACAATCACCGAAATTCACATTTTTAGCTTTTCTTCTGTTCATTCGAGGCGAAAATCAAAAATCTGCCGCGGACAGAGTCAAAAGGGAGACGCTCCTCATCTCAACCTTTCAGATACGGTCAAAATCGTCGCGGCACATTTTCAAAGTAACGAGTTGTCGCTTCTTATACATTTACGTTCTTTGCTATTAGTTATTAGAATATAGTTAAAGTGATAGGGTTTTTTTTCAAGCATTTTAAAAACATTTTTATGATCACCCTGTGTTCAAGTATACCTCACTTCCTGTCACACACATTCACATATGGCGAGAATCAGCTGTTGGACGTGAAAAATGCGATAAATTTAGCGAGAATCAGAAAGAAAATTTTCATGTTGTAAAAAATAATCTCGCAATTACATTGACTTAAAAAGTGTCCACCTTGATAACGCAAAATAAGTTAATATGTCTGCTGCTCCTGATGGTCAATTGCCGAAATTTAAGTACTCTGGTGAGGTACCAAAATTGGATAAATCGCAAATAGAGTTCATGAAAATCATTGAGCAGCAGAATTTGGTGCGTGTAGAAAAATTGCGGCGCTTACGAAGAAATAACCTAATCACGGCCGGTATTTTGGGAGCATCCGTATTGGGCATCTATGCCTACTCAATGCTATCAGTGCACCAAGAAGATTTCTTAGATGATTTTGAAGAACCTAAAAAGGTGTCCAAACAATAAACGCAGTAGTTACATAAAGTTATATTAGTTTTAAGGCATCCACGCTGAATGAAAAAAAGAGGAGGAAGAGGAAGGTTGTTATTGTTGTGTAATTGCCTTTGTCCCTTTAATTCTACATCAAACATTTAAGGTAAGTGCTGCTTGCTTTTTCTGCTTTAATTTGTAGTTTTAAGTATTGTTTTTCTCTTTTTTATTGAAGTTAAATTTCAAAAAATGCCACAAGCTGCTGCACGCGTTCTCGCCAGTGGCGTTCGTTTGCCGCCTATGCCCACGCTGCGCGATCTTGTCAAACTTTACAAGTTGCAAGCAATCAAACACATGAGTCAAAATTTTATTATGGACGAGCGTCTGACCGATAAAATAGTTAAGTCTGCAGGTCGTATTGATAGAAGTGATACAGTTTTAGAGGTTGGTCCCGGCCCGGGTGGTATTACACGTTCAATTTTAAGACGTGAACCTGGTCGTTTAGTGCTCGTCGAAAAAGATACACGTTTTATGCCCACACTAGACTTGCTAAAGGAATGTGTGCGCCCACTACATACCGAAGTGGACATCTATCAGGGTGACATACTACGTTTTGATATAGAAAAGCATGTACCAATGTCTGAACATCGTTTGCACTTGATCGGAAACCTACCGTTTGCAATTTCCACTCGTCTACTTATAAATTGGCTACAAGATTTGTCATTGCGGCGCGGTGGTTTTCGATCCCTTAACACAGCTATGACGCTAACATTTCAGAAAGAAGTGGCCGAGCGCATTTGTGCACCACTCGGAAATGATCAACGTTGTCGCTTGTCAATTATGTCGCAAATATGGACCAAACCGTATCTAAAGTTTATCATACCTGGTAAAGCATTCGTGCCGAAACCAGAAGTAGATGTGGGCGTTGTGAAGCTGATACCACTTAAGCAACCAAAAACCGATTTGCCTTTTGAGCTGGTCGAACGTGTAGTACGACACATATTCAATATGCGGCAGAAGTATTGTCGGCGCGGTTTTAGCACACTATTTCCACCGGAAGAGCGCGATGAAATGACAGATACGTCGTTCGAGTTAGCGGATGTAGATCCAACTGTAAGACCATTTCAATTGTCCGTGGATGAATGCTTGCGCTTGGCGACAGTATATGCAGACTTCAAGGAGAAACATCCCGAAGTGGCAAGCTATGATTATCGGGCCAGAAAGAATCCGGTTGAAGAATCTGCTGATGGAGTATAAGCTTTTATTTCAAAAAAATTTACTTTCAGAGTTACAAAATAAACCTACATAAATAGTTTTGCTTGTTTCCATAATAAAATATTTACTTAAAATTGATTTATATAATTTTTTTATTCGATTGGACACATTTTCGCTTAATAAATACATTTACGAAATTATACATTCATGTAATTGAATTGGACGGCTACGAGACTTGCATATATGTACATATATTTAAAGCTTAACTACATATGTATGTATTATTCGAGTCAATATAAAACACCTCTAAAATGTAAAATTTGCACTTGGTCGGAATGTGTTACAGTAAATATTTCGATTTGCTTAATTATTCGATTATTATATTTTTCAAATATAAATTTAAAAATTCTGCTTTATGGAATATTTGGGCAGTTACTTTCTTGAAACTGCAACTAGTTCGCAAAGGCACTTCTGGTAAACTATTTCATATCGTACTTAGACATTTTTACGCTACTAAACGAGATTTTCAACTCATTGAATTCATTTCGGACATCAATTTTCGTGCCAACAGCAACACTATGCTGCCGCTTACCAAAAGAGCTATTGAACTGGTCACCGATGTTTCAGCGCCGTTGCAACGATGATCAAGGAAACAGAAGCAGAATGTGACATCACTAAAGTAATCACGCTTAACATCATGCTCCTTTACTGTGTGATTGACGTAGTGTGCTAAACGTACATCCTGGGCAGCTGGTCGGCATCCTTCGTATTTATCAGCAGGTATGTCGTACGAAAACTTAAGGCACTCAGGCAGTCACGCGTTATTGTCTCTTGTGCTGTAATAAAATTTTGTTACATTACAAGGCTAAGGGTTTTGTATTTTCATGTGTACATACCTCCACGCTTCTCAATTACTTTTACACATATATCGTTGCTTTCAGGACATTGTTCACCAAGAAATCCTATGCCACGCCAGTTGAATTTCTCTGCACAACCTGGAGTGGCCGATGTGCAACGATAGCACCATATTGCTGAACCTTTAGTTTGAAAAAATTTTTATTTAGGAACTCAAATATGCTTTGACTGGGGTAAACTATGCAAGGCCGCCCCAGTGATGTCTATTTTGGTTACTGCGTGTTTTATAAAAATGTCTTGTATATAAAAATGTATTGTGCAAATCAATATTTAACATTTTTCAAGCGTATAAACGCAAATGAAAATTGTGATTTTTGGCAACTTTTCTAAGGGGTCCCTAGGGAACCATAGGGGACCTAGGTGGTCGGTGGTTACATTTTTGTATATCGTTGCTTTCAGTACATTGTTCACCAAGAAATCCTATACCACGCCAGTTGAATTTCTCTGCACAACCTGGAGTGGCCGATGTGCAACGATAGCACCATATTGCTGAACCTTTTGTTTAAAAAAAATTTTATTTAGGAACTCAAATATGCTTTTACTGGAGTAAACTATGCGAACTTATGCCACGCAAGGCCAATAACTTCTATGCGGAATTAAAAGCTAGAAAGGAAATTTGCCTCCTTAACCTCTTGCCAAGTGCTGCCGGTATGCGATTCGAGAACTGCTTTTGCTCAGTTCAACACAGAAATTGATATTATGGGACTCCGTTTTGATTCGCTTCTCTATACATGTGGTGTGCGCCTTGAAGTTGTGTTACTTGGGGGGAACCTCTAGGGTGACCGCTTTTGAAGAGTAAAATTTTCTCTGAATACTACCGTTAAATACCTGCACACACAGATAGCCTCTAATATGCGGAAAAGTTGTTTTTGTGGTAACAGCATTCAAAATCCCCAAATAATTTTGAGGAATGCTGCTGGATGACATTTATTTACCTGATATAAATTTAGGTCGTTCTGGTTACGCCTTGCCCTTTAAAGCATGGTCACTGTTCTGACCATAGCTTAAGTCATATGAAATGTTGTGAACTGAATCCTAACATTATATGATCGACGACTTACTGCGTTCTCCAGAAAAGAGATAGACACATTTATGGAGTTCAAGAATAAAGTTTGAGATAACATCAACAGAATTTTATTTTATTGGATACACTTATAACTTATGTATGTCACATAGGCACAAATGCTACAGAGCAAAGGAAAAATCCCACACAAACATTACGCACCCGTTTGCTTGCCCAATATAGTCTATCCATCAGACACCAGAGTCGCTTTGGAAATGGAAAAGATGACTAATAGCCATAATGGATGAAAATTGCTGCTTCAACAAGAGCCGCACTCGAATTGTGGATTTCTCGGTTTTCTATAGTGGCTTCTTGTGTCCCATTATTCAAATAATATTGCAGTCGCAATGGACAAATATGCAGATGAGCCAGCTGGAACACATCTTTTAGCATTGAAATGCGTCTTTCACCAGCGACAATGGTATGGCAGGCTTTTACCTTTGCAAAAATCTCAGAAATTGTAAGTGTTTTTTTGTCTTACCTTCACGCACGGCTAGAAGTGCTAAAACGATCAGTGTATAAACTGACATTCTAAGTATTGCTCCACAAAAAATAAATGTTTTTAAACTTGTAAATAACTAGGAATTAAAAATTATAATTCTGTCAGAAAGAAAAGAAAAATGAAATAATTCAACAACGCCCAACGCCCTATAGAAAATTGACAGTCGAAACGTCATTCTAACTTTGATTGCCACCTGTTCTTTTGTATAAAAATATAGCTAACAACCACACTTAAATAAAAACGGTTTGCGTTACCTTGGCCCTGCGTTAACGCCGACGAGTCATACAGTGGTCCCTAAATCGCAAGTTCAAAAATTATTATACTTAATCAATTAGTTTTAATTGAAGACAGCAAGAAATAATGGGGACAAAAAATGCCAGATGACAGACAGAAGCGAAAATAGAATTGAGAGGAACTATCAACGATTTCGCGTGTTTATCTGACGCCCATCGCTGAGTACCATCGCTAGCTTTGTATTCCCAAACAGGCACACCTAAACACGAGCGTTGACCGGAGCATTTTCATACAAGTAAAAATAAAAGCAGCAACCAGCATAGGCTACACCCTTCTTGGGTCTTCCGTTAGTTTAGCTTGACCGTAACTACTGAGATACTAGCCTAATTTACATGTGGCGATTTTCTAGCCGATTCAATATTGATCAAGAAAAATCGCTCGTGTAAATGGTGAATCAAAAATCGCAAGTCGCAAAATAGCAACTTTTATATGCGATTAGCGTAAGTCGAAAAATCGCCTCATGTAAGAGCAGCTTAAGGCTTTAAAAGAAAAGTTAACCTTACGATTGGGCATCTCACCGGTTGAGCAAATCTCAACTGGCAATACCGTATTCATAAACAAATAGAACAGCTGTTTTTCACATATTTTTCTTTTGTTCATCCACACGACTTTTATTGGACTTGAAGGAGTTTTTGTTATCCTGGATTAAACAAACATCGATTAAAAATGGACAATTCTATGGCACCGCTACAGGAGTTGCTCACTGACATGGTAGTGCCGACACAGCGTGCCAACATGAACATTAATCCCGAACACATCACCATGCTGACCGGAAGTAAAAGCAAAAAACAGCTCAGCCGGAAGCGTGTCAAAGGAAAGAGCTCCACGCTTACGCGCCGCGAATACGCCAGCCTGGGGCTACACACTTTGCCAACACGACAAATGCTGTATGAAGAAGCTTTACCGTTACATAGACTTTGGAAAGGTTACATGCGTGAACACTTGGGACTACGTGAGGGTGACAAGGTTCCAGCCGTGCACGAGCCAGGTTACGATGCATTCAGTAAATTGTTGGTAAAAACAGATCTGCATGGCGCTATATTGCGTGTGGTAGAATCGAAGTGCGCAACACTTGTGGGGTTGACGGGGATTGTAGTCTTGGATACGAAAAATATGCTAAAGCTCTTGGGCAAGGACCACCGTATACGATCGGTGCCGAAGACTGAATGCGTTTTTGGTATGCATTTTGGGAATATGGAATTTACCATTTTTGGCAAGCATCTAGCATTGCGACCAGCGGAGCGAAGTGTGAAGAAGATCAAGAATTTCATTGAACCTTTTGAGTTGGAATAAAAGTAAAATATCTAGTATTTAAGAAATTAGCAAATATGATATGAAGTTTAAGTAGCAATATAGAATCTTACAGAAATTGGACGTTGAAAAATATTTACTAAAATACCCCTGCTCCGAAATTCATCAAAGCAAAATATGAGATTCTTTTATTTGCAAACTATAATTGAGGGAAATGCTCAATTTGCACAACGTAAGTGCCAAATCGGCATTTGAACGCAGTTGGGTTACTGAACGTCTCCATCAATTATAGATTAGAAATAAAGGAGTGATGTTGTGATGATTTGCTTTTATGCATTTTCGAATAGAAGTATATTGCACTCTTATCTAATATTTCAATTTTCCTACTTAGTGCCGTTTTCTCAAGTAGCTTTTAAAATTTATCTGCCTTTCAAACAATTTTTTTCAGAACAAAAAAGGGCGGATCAAATCCAAAACCTACTTTACCTACCTACGGTCCTTACACTATTACATTAAAAAAATACTAATAATTAGCTGATAAATATTTAAAAGTTAGCCGAATTCAATTGCCTTCAAAGTTAACTTCTGGCTGTAAAACGAGCAGAACTATATAGTTCTGTAATTGATAATTTGCGAGCACAAAAATTTTTTTTCGGATGAGCTTGTAAAGCCGCGAAATGATAAATTGATAAGTATGTATGTATGTTTATAAGGAAGAAATATGTACTTACAAGCCTATCCGAAACAAATTTTTTGTGCTCGGAGAGGCCGCGAAATGATAAATTGATAAGTATGTATGTATGTATGTATGTTTATAAGGAGGATATATGTACTTCAATTTAATATTTAACTCTTTTATTATTATTTTTTATAATAGGATGTCCTATAATCAATTATCATTTCGCGGCTTTACAAGCCTCTTCGAAACAAATTTTTTGTGCTCGGAAATTATCAATTACAAGTGCATTCGTATTTCAAGTCATCACTGTTATTCAGCTGTAGGATGTGCCTTGCATAAATTGTTTTATTGGCAATTAGTGACGACGTGCGAAAAGTCAGTTGTACCCTGTGGAAATCAATTCAGAAAATAATGAACGAGCAGGAGTTGTTATACATACATATACATATGTATATGCACCTATTCATGTATAAAATTAATTAAAAGTTCAACAGTTATCTGTATATATGTATGTATATGAACATACATGCAATGCATGTAACCTGCATGAACAAAAAATTAGAAACATCAGAAAGCATTCACAAAAAAAATGTAAAATTATTTCGCAGTCTTTCGGAATTTCAATTTATTAAAAAAAGAAATAGTCAAACAAACGACTATAAATCAATCGAAGTGTGTCGATGTATTGCTCAGCGGAAATACCTGTTGTGCTTGAGATATTTACGAATAAAAGTTCATATCGTTGCCTTAATATAGAAAGGCCCTATCTGACATCGTCGCTGATTTACAAAAAGTCGTAACTAACTAAAAATCGAAAATTTACGTTTTAATTGATTATGATGCATTTGATCGAATTATGTGGCCTCACATCGTTTTATGCAATAAAAGATTTTAGTTAGTTACGGCTTTGTGCATTTCAGCGACGATGTGAGATAGGGCCTTTCTATATTAAGGCAACGATATATAGCTTTATGTGTTTATCAATTTCATACAAGTCGGTATTGATTTGATGTACATATTTTTACCCACTTTTCTCCTATTTTGCATTCTAAACATAAACGTTAGCAAAAATTCTTTTATGTATTTCAAAGCTCTTGGGTACATACATACATAGACGCATACATGCCCAACAAGCATTTCATTAAATGTTTTCAAAAATAGCTTAAAGTAAGTTTGCCATAATAAGCGTTAAATAAGCGTTTTTAATGTCAGGTTAGGTTAGTTAGGTTATCCTGGCTGCCCTCATCCGTGCAGGAAAGGGCACACTTAGGCCTCCATGGGCCCATTGTGATACTATATTTGAGACTCATACGTCCCTCCTCCTACCTCAGAAATTGAACCAATTTGTAGCTCTGATAAAGCGCACAAAATCGTAGATACTGGCCGAGTCCAGTTCAGCCAGACACTCGAAAGAATAGCGAAGGAGCGAGCGTCGACGGGCTCTTGCCAAGGCGGGACAGTGGCACAGCTAGTGCTCCACGCTCTCGATCTCCTCATCGCGGCAGCTACGACAGTAGTCGTTTGGCTGCAAACCCATCCTGGCAGCGTGGGTTCCCATCAGGCAGTGCCCGGTGAGAATTCCGATAACATGGCGGAGCATTGGTCGCTCCAAACGAAAGAGAGGGCGAGAGCTACGCTTATCTTACCTAGGCCAGATGTGTCTCGCTATCCTGCACGTGGGCTCTGCGGACCATCTTACATTTACCCGTTCGATAAAGTTATTCTGCAGCCAAAGTTTACAGGATGATAGCGAGATACCCGCATTACGAGCGGTACTGATCGCAGGCAGTAGGGTTCCTTTCCGAGCCAGCTCGTCCGCAACACAGTTGCCCGGTATGTCCCTATGACCTGGGAGTAAAGTGACTCCTTGCCAGCTCGTTTAGAATACGTCTACATTCCATGACAATCTTCGATGAGGATTTGTCACAATTAAGTGCTTTGATAGCTGCCTGGCTATCAGAAAAAATAGTTACTGCATGCAGATTAGTAGGAGAATCGATCAGCCATCTAGCAGCTTCGTAGATTGCTGTTAGTTCAGCCTGAAACACGCTACAGTAATCTGGCAGACGGAAACTGAGGCTAAGTGAGAGTTCCTGCGAATATATCCCACTTCCTACCTTCAGATCTAGCTTGGAGCCATCGGTGTAGATGGCTGCTGAATCAGAATAAGAGATCAGGATTGAATCCTCCTCCCACTCACCTCTTGAGGGGATCCTTGTTTGGAAGTCATTCTTTAGTCCAGTAGGCGGGACTGTGTAGTCAAGGCGCCTGAAGTTTCCTGGAAGATCTTCCAAAATTCTAGAGTGTCCAAATCTTGTATCACTCCACTTGATCAGCGCGTTTAATCTAACAGCATTACAACTTGCCTGCAGTTTGCCATATAGGTCCACAGGTAGAAAATGGAGCAAAGTCTCTAGGGCTTTAGTCGGCGTTGAGGGCAACGCCCCCGTGATCATAATGCACGCCACCCTTTGAACCTTTGTTAATCTGCTTTTGATTGTAAGTTTGTCCACGGATGGCCACCAGACCGTGATGCCATAGAATAGAATGGGACGCACCACTGCTGTGTACATCCAGTTCACGATGTGCGGCTTTAAGCCCCACTTTTTTCCTATTGCTGATTTACAGGCATACAGGGCAGTTATAGCCTTCTTGCAACGCTCTTCAACATTGCGCCGCCAAGTTAGCTTTCTGTCCAATACAACGCCCAGGTACCTAACTTCCTCCGAGAGGGCCAGGGTAACACCGCTCAGGGAAGGAAGTTGCACCTGGACGGTTTTAATTTTCTTTGTGAAAAGAACCATGACTGTTTTCCCTGGATTGACACCAAGGCCAGATTCCTTGGACCAGGTTTCCACAACGCGTAAGGCGCCTTGGACCAGATCACATAGAACTTGGGGGTGCTTACCTACCGCCGTCAGGGCCAGATCATCAGCGTAGGCAACTACCTGACAGCCTGTGCTCTGTAGCTGCGACAGCAGAGTATTCACCGTTAGATTCCACAGGAGTGGGGAGAGGACACCGCCTTGCGGGGTGCCGCGGTTTGCATACCTTGTTACCGATACCTCTCCCATCTCCGAGTATATAGTTCTGCAGCCTAGAAGGCGATGAACAAATTCTACCAGAGGGTACTCCAGACCGAGGTTAGTTAGGGCGCGGAGAACAGCTTCTGGGAGAACATTATTGAAGGCACCCTCGATGTCAAGGAATACGCCTAATGCATATTCCTTAAGCGCTAATGCCTTTTCAATGGTGCTGACAATACCATGCAAAGCTGTGTCTACAGACCTGCCTTTCCAATAGGCATGCTGACAGCTAGATAATTTACTTAAATCAATTTCTTGTCGGATCTTCACGTCCAGTAGTCTTTCCAGAACCTTCAGGAAGAAAGATGTAAGGCTAATCGGTCGAAAGTCGCTTGGCTTCACGTGGGATGGTCTGCCGCCCTTGGGAATGAAGACAACCTTCGCCAGTGTCCATCCCTTGGGTATGAAGCTAAGTCTGAGACAAGCCTTATAGATTGAAACAAGCATCGGACATAGAATGTCAGACGTTGCCCGAAGTTCGGCAGGGAAGATGCCGTCCATGCCTGGAGATTTGTAGGGCTGGAAGGACCTTATGGCCCAATCTACCCTTTCTACATCAATAAAATCTATGCATTCTAAGGAGGGTCCAGAAATTGTGCGAGCGACGCCAGGCTCCTCAGTACACCCTGGAAAGTAGGCGCTCATTAGAACCTCAACCATCTCCTATTGGGATGATGTTCAGTCGCCATTCGCCTTCTGAATAAACATTGGGTTCGTCGGATTTTTGGCAAGCACTTTTCACAAGCGATTACCCTCCGATTGTCCCTCTATGCTATCACAATAATCCTTTCCTGGTGGCATTCTTAAATTTCTTTAAGGCTGCTTTGTAAGCAGGCCAAGAACCATTACGCTTTGCAGCGTTGAAGAGTTTCCTGCTTTCCTTCCTTAAAGAGGCAATTTCCTTAGTCCAGCAGTGTGGCTTCCTTTTTCCTCACGGAAGTACAATTGGACAGGACGCAGAGAAGGCCATATTACAGGCATTGGTGATGCAATCTACGGCTTCTTCAATTTGTTCCGAAGAGCTTAACTCACCGAGAGAAGCAGCAGATAGTAACAGTAAGCCGAGCCTACTGAGAGAAGCGTCGTTTTTAATGTTAAGTTTATTTAAATTTGTTTTTTTTTTTTCAAATAAATCTTTAATAAGTGTTGAGAGCGAATGTTTATAAATAAATAAATAAATAAAGAACGTAAACATGTCACTCACAATTGAAAAAATATTATATTTACAGCTTCAAGTCGTTGGCATTTGCATGTAATTTTTAAGATTAAGTGATTGGTTAACATTCGCTTTTATAAAGGGTTAACTTTAATAAACTTAATATTAAAAACGGTTATTTAACGCTTATTATGGCAAAATTACTTTAGTGTATTTTTAAAAACATTTACTGAAATGCTTGTTGGGTCATATTTCTTAAAAATTTAATTAGGCTCAATGATTTGATACAGTCTAACAAAATAAATAATTTTAATAAATGTTTGATACATATGTATGTATATACATGTGTATACACTAATAAACAGGTGAATAACGCTTTCTTCTCCATTAGCTTATGCCAAATCTTACCTTAATACATCACAAATTTACCCACAAAATTCACAAACAGGTTGTATAAAACAATTAATTCAGTTCCCAAATCTCATTTATTTAGGTAAACAAACTTAATCGGTGGTGACAATATAATTAATTTTAATTTCGGCATAAAAATGGAAGTTAAAAAATAGCAATACTAAACTACACACACTTATGTACATATCGGCGTTTAAAGTACTAAACCGCGTATCGATTCTGCAAAACCGCGTAACTGACATTTGCACTAAAAATATTTTAATCAGTAATTAATTTATATTTGTGCTATGTGAAAAGAAAAATAGAAGTGAACTCTGATTTAGCAACGTAAATTTCGAAATTTTTTTCGAAAGTAGCACTAAAAATATTTTAATCAGTAATTAATTTATGTTTGTGCTATGTGAAGCTACAACTAAGTTACTTATGGTCAAGGTCGAAGAAATGGCGTCGCGAATATTTAATTAAAAAATGCCTACTTTAGTAATAATTAATTGAATCGCTAAAAAATGAAAGCAGAACAAAAATATAAGCGATAACTCGGTCTTAGAACTCGAGCTGCTTAATATAGAGCATTGCATACCAGTGGCGCAGCGTTAAATAACAAGTTTTGCCAAAAATTTCCCATCAAAAATACGAATGCAAGCGAGAATAAAAAAGATAAAAAAAATTATTCCAAATACTCTTAGAAAGCACACATATGTATGTGTGTATTTATAAAGTCTAAAAGTACTGCAAACAATATTTTTCTCCAAGCTTGTAAATTTTTTTACTCGCACCCGCTGTTTAGGGAACCGCTGTTTGTGCTGCGCTGTTTGGAAATGGTTTGCCCGTTAATTGTGCA